CCCTCCCTCCCTCCCTCCCTCCCTCCCTCCCTCCCTTCCCTCCCGTCCCACTTTTCTCCCCTCCTCTCAGCTTCCTTGTCTTCTGCCCGCATGCTCAGCTCCCCCCTGCTCTCACCTCGGCCGCATTTTTTGTCACGATGGGGATGAGGGCGTTGACGAGGGGGAGGAGGGAGCAAGTCTCGAGGGTTACGAGCTTGCCTATGACCGACTCCAGCTTTATCCCCTTCATCGTCTCTCGGGCTGTTGAGGCCGTCACCAGGAAGAACGTCCTCTCCCTCTCCCTCTCCCTCTCCTTCTTTCTCTTCCTCTTCCTCTTCCTGTCCCTGTCCCTGTCCCTGTCCTTGTCCCTCTCCCCGTCTCCCTGTTAGCCTCCTCTCCTCCTCCATCGCCCCCTCCCCTTCGATGCACCTCCCCTTCATCTTACCCTTCTCCCCCACCTCCCTCCCCCCTCCCAACACAGCACAGACCCCACAGCACCTCTCCTCTTCCTGCTCCTCCCCCCTCCCCTCCCTTCCCGTTCGCTCTTCCTCTCCCTCCTTCACCTGCATTATAGTATCTGACACTTGAATCCGAAGGCTTCGGGGACGCGTGCGGGGCGAAGGAGACGGAGAACCCATCGGAGGACCTGCTCTCCTTGCTCTCCCTTCTCTCCTCCCCGTTCCTCCGTCTCCGCACGTTGCTTGCAAACTCAACCCTCACCAGGTCGCAGGAAAGGATGGTAACCAGGCACTCGGCCGCCTTGCTCCAGGACGTTCGCAGGTGGTCGCCATGCTCGGCGATGATGCGCATGAGGTTGAGGAGCGACCGCTGGGCCTTCTCGGAGCTGGGAGAGGTCAGGAGGAGCGGCAACGAGCAGGTGGTGGAAGACGAGGGAGAAGGCAACGGGCGAAGAAAGTAAGAGGACCGCAGAGTAGTGAGGAAGAGGAGGAGGAGGGAACGAGAGTGGAGAGATAGGAGGAGGAAGGCAGAAGCTTGAGGGGAAGAGGAGGAGAGAGGACAAGAATGTGGGGAGGAGGAGGGAGGATGACATACCTTCCAAGAAGGAGGAGGGAGGAGGAGCTGGGAGACGAGAGGAGCGGGGCGGAGAGGCTTGTCTGCTGGCTCAGTACCACCACCAGGTAATCCAACGCCTCTACTATCTTGAGATGACCAGTGACGTTGGCTAGAACCTCCACTCCCTGTTGGAGGGTAAGAGCAGGAAGGAGGAGGAGGAGGAGAGGTGAGGGGAAGAGGGACTGGGAGGAAGGACGGGGGAGGGGGGGGGGGGGAGGAGGAGGAAGCACCTCGAAGACGCAGTCTATGGCGTTGGGGTCGCTCGCGCTCTCCATCACTACACAGGTGGCAGAGACGACAGGCCCCCACACGCTGAGGATCATCTCCTCGTCATGCAGTCCTAGATCTCCAACTCGGCTGTAGCCCTCGCCTCCTCCCCTCCTCTCCGCCAGCTGCAGCGCCCTCTCCACGGCAGCTACGTTGGAGGCGGCAGCAGAGGCGGCAGACGAGGATGAGGGAGAGGAGGAAGACGCTTCCTGTGCGTGCTTGGAGTCCAGACGGATCTCGTTGGAGGCGATGGAGGAGAAGATATTCTCGAGCAACTCCCTCGGGAGATCCTCCCGCAGCCCGCGCGACTTGTCTTCGTTGATGCCGCGGTTGTTCCTGATGAATTCCTCTAGCGTCATCCTCTTCTTGATCTGAGGGCTGTGCAGGTCGGTGTTGAGCATGATGATCGAGAAGGTCAGGATATGAACTGCATCCCAGGAATGAAAGATCCCACCATCCTGACCCCCGTCCCGCCCTCCCTCCTCGCTCCCCGTCTTCTGCTGCTCGAAGTAGTTCTGTGCGAATGCCTCGGTGATGCGGTCGATCTTCTGGCTTTCTCCTGGCAGCAAGAAGCTCTCCAGGTACACCCGCAGCGCCTGCTCTACAGTATCCCCGTGGAACTGAAACAACTTTGTGAACTCGCGGAGCACCTCCTGGTTGAACTCCTCCCTCTCTCCGATGTAGTCGCCTATGATGCGCTTGTCCAGCCCTAGCGCCGGCCCAGCCTGTGAGGGCAGTGAGAGGAGGAAGAGGAGGAGCGAGTAGGGAAGGAGGTGGAGAAGAGGCGAGCAAGGAACGAGGGAGAGGAGATGGATGATGAAGACAATGATGACAATGACAATGATGACAATGATGACAATGATGACAATGATGATGATGATATGATGATGATGATGATGATGATGATGATATGATGGAGGTGGTGGTGGTGATGGTAATGATGATAATGAAGTTGATGCTGAAAGACAACAGTCGATGAAGAGAAGGGGAGGAGGCCCGAAAACACCGGACGTGGCAGGTGAGAAGAGGAGGAGAGGAGGAGAGGAGGAGAGGAGGAGAGGAGGAGAGGAGGAGAGGAGGAGAGGAGGAGAGGAGGAGAGGAGGAGAGGAGGAGAGGAGGAGAGGAGAAACGGTGAACAACCTTAAAAAAGATCGCCAAGTCCTTCGCACCTCCCTCGTCCTGCGATTGACCATAAGAGAAAGACTGTCCTACTATTTTCCTCTTCAGGGCTCAAGGGCTAATTATCTCACATACTCCTCCTCTCGAACCCCATCCCGACCCTCGCACAACTTTCCTCGCTGATTCCATTTTGCTACTCAACTGCATCAACCCTTCACTCTTACTGCTCTCTCTTCCTATATCCCACTTGCTCTTCCTCTTCCTTCTCCTTCTCCTTCTCCCTCTTCTGCGTTTCATCCTCGTCCTCGATCTCGACCTCGATTCTTGACCTCTCTCGTCCTCGTCCTCGTCCTCGTCTTCGCTACTAGATCACCTTGCTTCGCAGCAGACCGCTCTTGGTGAGCATCGCAAGGCCCTTCTTGACGTCTCGATTGAAATGTTCTGCAACAAAACATGTAAGAAGTCTAGCAGACGAGGCAACGAAGGGAGGGGAAGAGAAGAGCGCAAAAAGCACAAGGCAAAAGAGAAGAGATGTGAAAGATCGCAAAGATAGACAGAGATTTGATGAGGACAAGGATGCAAATAATAAGAGCAGAGCATGCGGGGAGTGTGATTCAGATCAAGAATATACGAGGATGACAACAGGGTAGGACGAGTGAGTGAGGGTACAAATTGAGCCCCTGAGCAAGCCGGTGCAGAAAAACGGAGGTTGTACGGGGAGAGGAGGAGCACCGAGGAGGGACAGGGACAGGGACAAGGACAGGGAGAGGGAGGAGCAACAAGGAGGAAGAAGCTAGCAGGATGAAGACGGAGGAGGAGCAGGAGGAGAAGGGGGGGGAGGAGCGAGATCAACCAGTAGCCATCAGGTATCTTCTCTTGATCTGCTTCTGCTTCGAGAGCTTCTGCGAGAGGATCCCGGCAGCGGCGCTCACATGCCTGTCCGGCGACTGCTGGAGGAGACGACGGGAGATCCTCGAGCTGATGCCCTGGAGGCCCGAGACGATGGCGCGGAATGCGATGAGGTGGGAGGAGAGGAGAAGGCCGGAGGAGGGGAAGGCTTGCTTGCAAAGAGACTTGGTGAGATTGTCGAACAGGTTGCGGTTGTGGAGAGAGCAGTCGTAGTTGACGTAGATGTCCGAGAGAAAGCTCCTGCAGGGGAGAGCAGTGGGAGGAGGTGGAGGGAAGAAGGGGAGGAGCGGGGAAGGATGAAGGAAAGGAAGGAGGGGGGCAGGGAAGGAGGAAGAGGAGGAGGAGGAGAGAGAAGAGCAACAAATGAGGAACGTCAACGAGCGGCCATGCAGAAAACAGAAGAGAGGCAACGAAGAGATGGAAAGAGATCACCGGGAAAAGGAGGAGAAGGAGGAGGAGTAGCAACATCATCACAAACGTCCTCACCCGTGCAGGCAGAGGTCGCCGATAGCCTCCAACACAACCTCCTTGCACGCGTCCGACGTCATCCGGTCCTCGAGGATCGCCAGGATAAGTTTGGAGATCATTACTTCTAGCTGCTGCCGCAGGCCGTCCCGAAGGTGAACGAACATGGAGTGGACGACGGTCATCACTGGAGGAGGATGAGACCCGGCAGGGGAGGAAGCACACTGTCTCTCACCTTCCGCTAGGATGTGTGGCTCTACTGTTGGGTCCAGGGCTGTTCGCGCCAGCCCTGTGAGGACGTGCAGGCAAAGCACTGGGGGCAAGGAGAGTCAGATAGAGGAGCCGGGCTCAGATGTGAAGAGAAGAGAGGAGAGGAGAGGAGATCAGAGGAGAGGAGAGGGGAGGGGAGAGGAGACGAGAGGAGAGTGGAGTAGAGGGGAGGTGATAGATGTGATGACAAGGGCAGCAACTAGAAACTTAGCAGTGACTCGCTTGCCTGTTCGGATCAGCGAAGATTTCAACAACCGGGAGCTTGAGAGGTGAATCCCTGGGATGAGAGAAAGAGAGGATGATGTCAGCGAAATGAATCGATCATTGACAAAGATGAAGTGAAGATTGACATCGAGAGAGTAGATAGAGTGTGCGCAAGAGGGGAAGAGCCGAGAGAGAGAGAGGAAGCGGGAGGGGGAGGGGGAGAGAGCAAAGTTAGCAAGCTGAAGGGATAGCAAGGTAGCAAGAGTCCAAGGTGTGTAGGATACAAAGAAATAATCGCAGCAAGTGGCACAACCAAAATTGAGAAGCGAGAGAGCCAGGCATCTCAGAGTGTCTGAGCGAGACTCCGAGGGCTCGATGAGCTCAGCTACGATGGCGATGACCTGCAGGAAAGCATGTGAAGAGGGAGAAGTGGAAAAAGATGGTGCAAAGAAAAGAAACACGACAACGAGTCGAGGACAGTGAATAAGGACAAACGTGTGAAGAAAGAGCAACAACAAAGGCGGGAAGAGGATGGAGAAAGGAGAAAGAGAGGTTGGGGGGAAGGGACAGGGAAGGAGCAATGTAGGATAGTAGAAAACAAGGCAGACAGTCTTCACCTTGGCAAGAAACTCCTCCTGCTTGTCTATGCTCGGACTCACTTCGGACGTGCTACTTTCCTCCACGCAGAGCTCGCTGGCTTGACCGCCGCGATTGAAGTCGGGCTGAGGGATGGGAGCTGATTTGGCCCTGGACGGAGTGAGGAGCCAGGAGACCACCGAGGGAAGGGAGGAGAACTCCCTCTCCTCCGACATCTTGATGCTCGGGCTCGGACTGGCGAGCAGGCTCGTCCTCAGGATGTGCTGCTTGAACCTCCTGCATGTGATGGGGAGGGAGTCGAGGAAGCGGGGGAGGCGGGAGAAGAGGGCATGTACCATCCTGGAGAAGGCATTCTCCGCCTGCCTCCTCAGCATCTCGGAGAACCTGAGCTCCATGCTCACCCGCAAGATAGTCTGAAGGGTCTCGAGGATGAGATCGGAGGAGCACTTCTCCGACAAGTCACTTTCCATGGCACACACCAGCACATGGAACATCTGGCTAATGACAACCTCGTCACCGCTCAGGTCACTCTGCTCGAACTGGCAGGCGAGCACCCCCTCGATCACTTGCTCCATCTGCCCTCCTGCCATGATGATCCCGTTGACTATGAACTTCTCGCATGCAGAAAGCGCCGCGCTCGTCATGGCGCCAGTGGTGTCGGGCGACATGATCACATCGATGAAGGGAGACAGGATCTTGGATATCTTGCTCACCCTCCAAGGAGAGATTCTGGAGCGGATCTCTATGAACCCCTTCAGCAGCTCGTGCTCGCCCTTCACCCGCATGGACGCGTTGAACTTGCTGCTCTGCCGCATGATCGTCACCACTGCCAGCGCTTCCTTCCTGACAAGAAACCACTTGAATCCAGTGAGAATGGGGTCGCTTCCGTCCTCCTCCTGTCCGTCGATCTCCTGTGCGACGCTTCTTTGGGCATCTGCAGCCTTGCCGGCTTCGTCCTGCATGCTTCTATGTAGAGCTTTCGTTGGGTCGCGAAGGTAACCAAGTCCAGACAAGATCCTTAAAGCATCTTCCCGTCTCAGCCTGCAGGTCACGGGGGTCAGAGCAAAATGATCAGGAACCATCCCAAGCTTGTTATCAACGATTCTTGCACGCGGATCGTATTCCCATCACTGCTGCAGCTATTCTGTTGCTGATGTCATGGTGGGCAAGGGGCTTCAAATCGGTCCTCGTATCAACTAACCTCCTCATATTCTCGAGCAACAAGAAGTATTTCTCCTCTTCCGACTTGTACTGCTTTCCTTCTCTTCTTCTTGTCTAGCAGGCGATCCACATCCCACAAGGGATTGCTGCACCATATGGGGCGAACTGCTTCCGCATCGGACCCCCGTGAGCTGCTTCCCTTTTCCATTCCTCCCTTCCCTCGTCTCCACCTCCTCTACCTAGCCCATCGTCTCTCTGCGGACTCGGCATCACATCCTTGCCTGGCATCGCTCTCCTCCTCTCCTTCCTCCCCTCACCCTCGTCCCTCCCCTCCCTCCCTCCCCTCCTCCTCCCGAGTCCCAGCATGCTCCCATACTTGAGGAACAACACTACCTACGCCTCCATCCCCCTCATCTGCTGTACCCTCATCCCCACTCAACCCTCCAATCCTCCAAGGCCGGGCGTCGGTCCACTACTGACAGCTTCAGCGCTGGCCCGCCGGATAGCTCACAAGCCGACAAAGGCAGCTATCTGATTGATATGCGGCGGGCTCGGTACATATAGAATTTGATAGAGAATCAGATCCGCCTCAGCCAGAGTCCTAGTTATTGAATTAGACACAAAAAGTTGCATGGAAGGGTGGGTGCTGTTGTGTCTCTGCAAGGGGTCCAACAGATGGGGTGTTGTCATGCAGGGTGGGGTGCGTGTCTCTAGCCTAGATAATGAGGGTGGGGGGTAGACAGCATGTGATAGAAGTACGGGGTAGTTTTCCACAAATGAATCGTCAGTGAAGGGGTAGTACCGGAACGATACTGGTTTGCTGCGCAAAGAGTTTTTGATGGTGGGTACCCCGACAGAATTGATAAGAGAAGACTAAAATTTGGGTCGAGAAGAGGGGGTAGGGTACTGAATAATAAGCAGGGTGCGTTATCGCACGTGATGGGGTGTAGCATGGGATGAATATGGGTGGGGTAGTAAGAACCTTTGGTCAGTGAACCAAATCATGCAAAGTAACGGGGTCCTGGATTGAGATACTTTCCCTGGGGTGACATTCTAGGGACATGGACATATTTTCCTAGTACTAGACATATGGAAATGCATATGAGTAAGGGGGTAAATTTAGATGAATCTTCATTCATAAACCCGATATGGTTCTCAGCGCTGAGGGTGGGTAAGCCTTGGTACTGCTCTGATAAAGGGGGTAGAGGAACTTCAAAGCAAGGCAGGGGGTAGGTGGGTAGGTAGGGTGGAGAGAGCAATGGCAGCGAGGAGAGATTTCGCGTTCGAGGAGGGGGGCAAGGGGGGCAGAGGAGGCGGAGGAGGATCAGATATACAACCAGGAACTCTTCCTGACTTCCAGGCGGTAAGTTTGCCTTGTCTGTCTTTCTCCTGCCTGCTCGCTCCTGGATGTTTGCTGTTGCTCTCTGTAGAACTCGTGAGAGTCTCTCGACCGCGTTGGGCGGTGAGCGAAAGGGAGTCAGATCGACTGTGACCTGGGATGAGAAAGACTTTGTTGGAGAGTGCAAGACTATCATTGAACCAGTGATGATGTGATGCTCTTGCTGGGGTGCTTGCTACCTCTAGCTCGCAAAGTCTGTTAATCCGATGTGTGGTCTCGTTTCGTTGTGTCGAAGAGTTTTGGCTGTATGAGCCAATACCACTGTATCTTGAATCTCACGATAAATGATTTTTCAGTTCGGTGAGATAGACCTCAAGAACATCTCTCCTGCCATTGGGGTTGTTAGCAATGAAGTCAAGTACAAACCTATGAGTCGTGGCAACGAATATCTTTTTGATGAGGAGGAGAGAGAGCGAAGCTTTGGAGAGCACTTGGTGTTCTATTGCGGATCATCATATATCACTGGTACGATCGATGATCGATTGATGAGCATCGCTAGCTCGGACAACCGTTCTGACTGTGTGTGCAGGTGTGGCAGCGGGCGTTGCGGTGGGGGTGGTTGAGGGCTTGCAGAAGGGACAGAACCTGCCGAACTCAAGGCTGAAATTGAACGCTGTGGTGAATGCCTGCTCGAAGCGAGCTCCTGTGTTCGGAAGCAACCTTGGCGTGCTAGCATTGATGTTCACCACTTCAGAGAGGATTACTAGGTGAGCCGAAGATTGGCCGTCAGCGTTCTAGTTGTACAAGTGCCTTGTGTGAGCATTGCTGTACAGGTATGTGAGAGACAGCGACGACACGCTGAACCCCATCATTGGAGCGGCTTCTACGGGTGAAGCCTCCCCGTGCATTGCGCCGGCCCTCATTGCTGTTTCAGGTTTTATGTTCAAGTGCACTTCAGGAATGCGAGCTTGCCTAGGTTGGACATTAGCAGGAGGAATAGGCATGACGCTCATGTAAGACCATCCGAACTTGATCACAAGAGCTGACCAGTTCCCATGGCAGAACACTCACTGGGCAGGTCCACAACTTCCTCTATCGCAGCAGAATTGCAGACTTCGACGTGCGGTCGGTCATGAGCAGCTCGACTCAGTCCTCATAATGTGCCGATCTTTTCGCTAGAGGTTGTACATGGGAGAGATTGAAAGAAAGTGTACTAACGCACGCTGTCCTAACGCTCGCTGACGGAAGACCATTGTGGTCTTCATGCGGTGAAGGGGAGGCGATACCAGATCCTTCTCCCATGCGGTACCTGCACTCGCAACCATACGATTTTTGACCTTGATCAACCTTATGGCGATCTTGAGCATAATAGGGAACTGTGTGTGTATTGTACAGCCAGAAAACAACTAGCAAATGCGCTATGCACTCAGTTCTGCTGGCAGCATCCGCGGTCCTCGAGCGAGGAGGGATTCTGTAATTGAAACCCTATTGGGATCATGTGGGTTCTGGAAGTAGAACGACGTGCTTGGCTCGCACCTCGGGCTCATGGACACGGAAGGCCTTCCGCTGAAGCATACAGTAAGATGGTATGAACAGTCAGTCATAGTCGTTCACTCACCTGTGGAAGAACGAGAGAAGCGCCAGAGAAGGGAAGGTGTAGAGTACAATGCGCGCGATGAGCTGTACTATCCCTCTGACGATGCCTGAGTAGTTCTCACCGTGAGACAACGTAGGGAACGTAGAATCGAAAGGCAGGCAATTTCTGGGAACACGCAGGCTGTGATCCAGAGTGTCCAAGATTCCCACAGCGGTGGATAGGAGCATGACGATGCCGAGCTTGATGAGAGAGATCCAAAACTTGCTCCCTGCCTTCTTCTTCGCCCTCTCTTTACCGAAGATGATGACTCCAAGCAACAGGATGCAGGCCATGACAGTGTAAGTCACGAGGAATGCAGTCCACGATGGATCTGCACCGAGCATCTCAGTCTCTTAGCTTTTCTGTTTTCACGTACCTTGGCAGGAGAAAGCGTGAGGAAGGTCACCTGAGATAGAGGCGCCAAACAAGATTGCCACCCAAGTGCATGAGATCAGGAGCGGGACGCGCAAGCATTGCTGGACTTCCTCGATCTGAGCTTGGTCAGGAGACTGCAGCCTCAAGCGCAGAACCAGACGCAGGAAGAAGAATGTCACAATGACGAAACTGAGCAGCGACAAACTCAAACTGGTGTAGTTCAGGCTTGCATCGACCCTTTGTATCCAGCATTTCTCCAATGTCACCTTGCCCGGATACGTGCTGTTTTCAGGATTCACTGCATTTTGGCACTGTTGGCTCCAGTCTGTATGTTCTGGGAGCTCGGCATTGAAAATCCAGTACACGTCCAACAGGGCATCAACAACCTGGCTGATGTTGATTACGAATGTTAGGACGAGGAGCTGCATATAGGCTGATCCGCGATCCTTCCATGCTCGTCCTCTACGTACTACAGCAATGAAAGCACATACACAGACGATCAATGAGAGAATCGCAAAGGCAATTCTGCAAACGATCAAACCGTCAAGGGAGATTCTACCAGACAACGAATTACAACCTGCAGGTGACTTCTGCGTCAAACTGGATGTTCATCGCTCCAAGGCCTACCATGACAACATAACTCTGACCATTATGATGACCTGCAATGCATCAAGGTCAGAGGATCAAGAAGCCATCACACGTCGAGTTTGTGATCAACTGAACCGTCTCAAATGCAGCACATGAGAAGGCCATGTTGGGCAGCAAAAGTAGCCGCATGCCGGGGTAGTGCATGAGGGAGGATGTGAGAGAACAAGCAGGAGAAACGATCTGTGAAGGCCAAGGGGGATGGGACGTTCATCTAGAGGAGGAGGAGGCAGCTACGACAACAGCTATTTCTCTCATAGCCTACATTACCGATCCAATCCCCCACCCCACTCCTGTACCTTCCTGTGACTCTACCCCTTCTTCTATGACCCTACCCAGTCTTGAATGCTCATAACTACCCGTTCGTACCCACCCTGAGCAACACCACCATCCAGAGCTCTCTATACCCCTACATCTCCTATGAAACCACCCCGTCATCAGCGCAATGTCACTCACCTGATCGCCGGGATGGCGATGCGACACAGGCCCGTTGACGGCAGTGGCGACACTGCGGTTTGACTGACAGTGAGGAAACTTTCACCGTTGAACTCAGTGACTCAGTGCGGCGTACCCGGCGTCCGCCGTACAGCTGCCGCTCAACGTACAGCACCGTACTGAACTTCGAACTTCGGAAGAACCATAGCGTTGCCTTTCTCAATTGACCTTGGAGCTCTAAAACGTTTCGCGGTGAGGGTGGTAGATTCAAATCCACGCATACCACGCCTCATGTGGGGGCGGGGTGGGTCTTCCGACCGTGTTCCGAATTCAAATCACGAAGAGCCAAGCAGAACTTTTTCAGGGGTAGGGCATAGCGTTGACATTTTGCTTTTTGTTCTTTAGGGTACATGGTTTACCGGCGGGGGTTGTTCCTTTGGTGTAGGCGTGTAGGGGGTGGCGTGGAGACCTGTTTCAAACGATTTCAAACTGGTTTCGAAATTAAAGTTTATAAGTCGATTCTTGTTTCGGCCAAAACTATTTTAGTTTGTACTTGGGGATTGTTAAGTATAATCTGGGCAGCGACAGCCATGGCGGACCGCTCGGAGCATCGAGCATCAACAAGAAATGCAGCGCAATTGGGTGTGGCGAAAAGAAGGAAGATGGAAGCGAATGAAAATGATGCAATTGAAGACGAAATATCATCACCCCGAGATTTTCTAGACCAGCTTAGAACTCCTTTGTTCTTTTCGTCGAATGCTTTCGTCCTGAATGAACCAGAGCATACCAACAAGTGTGCACGTTACCGGCTGAGCAGCCTGGATATTGATTTTGTACTTGAGCCTACGCTTGGAGTTGTATTTCAAGATTTGCATGGTAAAACCAGGCATGGAATCATTCGGAAGTCTTCAGAGCATTCGGTATCTGTCTACATTTTGTACACCAAGGAAATGTTACAAGAAGTCGGCCAGAATGTGCGATTCAATGCACAAACATTAAGGATGATAGGATCTTTGGAGAAATCTGAGTGTTTCCAAAGTTTGTACACAGACGAGTTCCCTTTGAAAGATATCAACGGTGTTTTTAGAGTGAATTTTCAACAAGTCTCAATGAGAGGTTCAGCAGCCTCCGTAAGTTCGGGAAGTTCGTCGTTGCCACAATGTCTTCTTTGTGTTGGCTACGTATACTTTGATATAAACTCTAGGAATGGTCGTGAAGAATGTCATTTATCCTTCTTTGGCAAGCTCAATGTCACTTTCGACATGCTAAAAATCTTCTTCCTGAATGTCAGAAGTCAAGTAGACCCTTTTCAGCTTGCACGAGATATACACAAGCTGAGGACAGAATTGGAACGGTGGTTCAAGACACGTGGAGAACCATTTCTAAAACCTCATATCAAACGTGTTGAAGTGGACGTCGAGCACGACGAAGTCACCTCATTGCTCTTGATTCTGAAGGCCGCACTGCAGGCAATACCTGACAGCGATTATTCAGGACTTACATGCTCAGGCTTGAAAAAAGGCGAGTGTTGTTGGACGGTGTGTGAATCAATCCTCAAGCAACCTTTCATTCAAGAACAGTTTCCTGTGCCATTCAAAGAAAATCCGTACCAGTTGGAGCCAGGATCTGGTTCGCTATACGTTGAAGGCCCTGTGCAGATCTGCTTGAAGAGAAACAGCCGTTTCAAAACTGTTCGTCTTTGCATCAAATTCAGTCGACTCGTAAGACTTTGCATGTTTGGAAGTGAAAGTTGGAAGATTCCATGACGAGGAATAATTTGGAGGGGATCTCATATGTTGTTCAAGCATGAGGCAGCAGAAAATCGTACCAGGGTGCCTCGCAGACATTTGACTCGCATTTATTCGGATGAATAAAACACTACAAAATTCAGTCTGACGTGTACAAGTCATGGTCATACGTGGCTTTGCAACAAGAGCTGACCCAGTGTAAAATGTGCTCTGCAACACTTATGGAACTTTCCCTTCTGGTCTTGCTTGAACGATGGGCCGTTTGCGCTGTTACATGGGCAGCGAAAATCGTTGGAATCTGACCCAGATGCAGATCCTTCATCCGAGGGTACCAACTTTTTTTTTGATTTTGCGATGTAGTTGTTGGCCAAAATCAATGCTCGCTGATAGGATGGACGGCCCTGCAACCTATGACGAAGCTCGATGCAAGACATGTTGAGCAGTCCAATTTCAACTCCATATTTCTCGTAGAGATATGTGAACTGGTCTCCTACATGTCCAGACACCATTGAATGCAAGTAGAACGACTGAAGAAGTTTTGCTTGTCCAACCAAACGAATCAACCTGTACGCAAAGCTTCTAATCTGTATGGGCAAATTCTTCGCTTGATCCTGACTCATCTTCGCAAAGTGCTGCGTCTGTAATAGAAAAAGAATATCTCGTAGCTGCTCAATTGCCTCATCCCACATTTTCAATTTCTCTTCGTCTTGACATATGATTCGAATAACTTCAGGCAATACTCGAATCAAATCATTGCATTGATCGCCATCTAGCTGTGTTCGAAATTCTTGTAACCTTTTTTCACTTAATTGAATGTGTACGCCATTCATTTCAAATACCTGGTTGATGTATGACAGCTTCCTCTTGTTGTCAGCCACAGAATGAATAAATTTGATAATCGTATTGCAAATTCGCATCTTCAAGTGTAATGAGCAGTAGATAAAATCCATCGCGGTCAACTTCAAGGGTCGCAGTTCTTCATATTGCCTGCATATCGGGATGTATCTTTGAACTGCTATTTTTGTCCCTGTAGGAATTAAATCATCTGGAAACGCCATGCAGTTGTCAATGACCTGCCGGTTGTGATCTGTTTTGAGCTGGTCATATTCTGCCTTACTGCAGGAATCGAAGAGTTCATGAAATCCTGGACCTTCTCTGACCAATAGATTCAAGTCGCGCATGTCCTTAGGAACAACTTGGTACTCGTTGCAAATACCATCCCAGGTAAACCTTTCTTCAGCTGAGACAGTGTGAACAGCAAAAAACTTAGCAGATTTCTTGCTATGAAGCTTCTCCTTGCAGTGAATGCAAAATTCACCATCGCTATCGTGCGGTCCACCTCGCTGCAGATAAGCGTAATGTCCCGCCAAGTCTGCTCGAAAAAGAAACTCAATGCCTATCTTGTTTGAAGCATTGCCGCCGGCTTTTGACTTGTCCGCTCCGTACATAGCCTTCCCGTCGTGAATATGCACCCCTTCTGTCTGCAAATCTTGGATCTCCTCAGTGTAATAATGCCAAAAGTTTCTTTCTAAATTTTCACCGCTGTCCTTGTCGGGAATAATCATCAAAGTCACAAGCCTTGGTGCAAATCGCATCCTGGTTTCATGCACACTGATCCATTCGGCAGAATTCTGCTTGGTATGGTACGGCAAAATACTGATGGTAATCTCGGTATGTTTTTTGTCACTGCTTGAGCATTTTGTCAATTTTGTACAATCGCTGTTGACGGTTACAATCAACTTGTCATACTTTCCAAGGTTCAATCGGTCTATCACTTTTTCAATAGTCCTTCGCAGCGAAGCACCGTGTGCTCCTTCCTCCGTGCAAAACACCTCCAATTCTTCATGCAGATTGTTTGTCATTGTGACGCGTGTTCGACAAATCTTCCGTACGGGAGTCGCACAATGCGTGCTAGTCCTGGGAGATAATTTCATGATTGCCACATATTTCTTCAAAGCTACATTCGAAACTGTCAAACCAATGCTGCCCTCAACTTCATCCGCCAAGAAGAGCTTTGTAATATACCTCAATGCATACTGCAAGTCTTCGTCCGACCGGAGCTCTCTCCTCAAGAATTCTTTGATTCGAGGGTTCTTCATTGTTCCTATGACAAACTTTGCCAAGGGACTCTTGGGCTGCTTTCTCCGCCTGGGCTTGGAACCTAAATTTGAGCCAGAAGCTACCACCGTGACTGGCGGATTGCAGTGGTTTGTTCCATGATCGTGAGAGGTTGGCCCTTCATGCTCACTTGCATGTGAAGGTGAATGACTTCCACAGGTTTCAATGATCGGCATTTCTTCTGAACCACCCTCGATGCCTACATTTGAACGACACGGCGAAGTACGAGGGGGCCCACTCTCACAAGAAGCTAAAGTCGAATGATTGCAAGGAATAACTGTTGCCTGAGAAGAAGCCACCATGCCAAAATCCTGAGCAGGTAATTCCAGAGTCATCTCTTCATGTCCATCGTCATCAACCATGGCATGATCATCCATATCACTGGCAGGATCAAATTCAGGAAACAGATATGGAAAGTGTTCCAACTTCTTATCATCCCCGCTCTTTTCTATCCCAAAGGCTTGGCCAATCAGAGAAACAAAGAGTTTTCGGCAAGGAGCCATGTGATGCTGAATCTTTTCAAGGACCCTGCTCCTGAAATTCAAATCTTTGATTCCATGAAAAGACGCAGGAAAGTCTGTAATATCGGGCATAACTTCCTGGCAGTAATCTAAAAATCGCCTTGTACTTCGAGGTATCTTATCTTCAGGTCTGCGTGCGAAGGAATTCAAATACGCAGTCACATTAGGTTGCCCCGCCTTCTTTCCAGAGGAATAAACAAAGTCTTCTTCTTTCGCCACTCGTTCTAGAGCCAACGCAGCTTCAACGCAGACCCTGAAATGGCGAAAGCGGCCGTCTTCCTTGGTGGCATCATCATGCAACTCATCACTACTTTGTCTACATGATGCCTCGCTACTACACGCACCAGGGCTTTCATCGCAAGGTATGACCGGTATGCTCACTTCTTCATCTCGTACACTTTCAAATTGAGGTCCTAGATTCCTCAAAATGTCAAGATATGACATGTTATGCTATCCTAGTTTTCAAATTTATAGATTGTGGATTTGAACACAGGAGCGTGTCAGAGGCACGCCGCGGATTCTGTGTTCTGCTTTTATAGTGGGGGCGGGGGGAACACCAAGGACCCAGATCAGGGGGTAGGGTAGTGATGAATTCGAACAGCAGTACCACATTGACTTCGATTTGTACCCAGTCCAAAGTCTCCGATACAAAATATAGTAGCATATGTATACTTAAAATTACATCCATTAACAACGTTTGAATGATTTAGGTATAGATTTCCAAATTTCAAATTACCCTACCCCTTATTACTAGATTGTTTTGGTAAATATGGGGGTATAGTGTTTCAGAATTTCAAACTGGTTGCCACTTTCAGGATTATTACTCGAATGATGTTTTCTTACAAGATATTTTAGACTGTACTCTGTCATGTTTGATTATAATATACCATATTGTTATACACACCCATACAGCATGACCATAGCTATGCAAACCAACAGCGTGCCCCCTTGCACGGGGCACGTCGCACCGCTCTGTACTGTCCTAACCATGGCTCGCAAACAGCGAGTGTGCAGAACAGATGTTCACCGAACATACTCAGAGGAAATTCCTGATGTGTAGAGGTGATGAGCCTGGAGGAGTGCTTCGTACAGTTCGTGAATCTCACGAAAAATCATTTGGTAAGCGAAGAGCATCAACAATACAAGTGAAAACCACCATCACGAGGATACATTGCAATCGAAACCGAGGCGTGATATACCCTAAGCTAACTGCGATGCATGACAGGGAAACTGAGCTGGAGTAGATGGATGGAGGTTACACTGAAGACAACAGGGAATTATCATCAGATGGTGACTGGATTGTTCAAAAGCTGTACGGTCACCTGTGAGCTCAAGAACACATGTCTGCACACCTATGTCTGATAGGTTCGCAAGCAATACAGTGCATTTTAACCGTGAGCAGCTCGATTGCTTGAAACAATGATGATCAAGCAAGTCCCGTGGTCCTGATCGGGATTATTCATCCAAGTTTTCAGAGATGTGTTAGAACGATGAAACATTTTGCAAATCACCAAGGCCTGTGTCATTTCATCACATGATGCATCATGTAAATGTTACTGGTGTGACTCGCATCAGAATGTGTTCACCAACGATTTGTTGCCAAGCAGATGATGTCAGAGCAAACATGAGCACTTTGGAAGATGCTGATATTCCAGGCCGTAGAGCATTTATGATGTGGCCACATGTCACATGCTTCTTGATTAACACAGATGCACATCCGACAGGCAAAAGATGGAACGTCGCCAGGATTACAGGGAGGTCGGTTGTACTTGTACCCTGATTGCAACTCTTCTAATAAAGATGTGTTAACCTGGATGTGCAATTCTGTTTATTGATTCACAGCGTTTGTATGTGTAGCGTTTGCGATTCATTTACAATCGTCGAGTGCTTGCTCTGTATAACAAGGAAATCCACTGTAAAGCCATGCGACAAGAAGTCTACAGTTGCACAGTAGCATCATGCATTGTGAACTGACAAAACCAGACAGGATTGATTCGAAGAACATCTCATTTATTGATACGCACAAAGGCATCATCTGCACATTGTTTCATTTCTGACTAGGTTTCTGTGCCATCGAAAGCGTTGTGGAAATATCATGACAGATGAAAAATCTGAAGCGCAGAAAACTCATCCAACGTCCTGAAACATGGAAATGCAGCTATCAATGCACTTGATCATGGATATAGTTATTCATGATCAACAGCAGATCTCTACAGTCATCTATGCGGGCAGGAAAAGTCATGCTCTGTGCAAACGTATCTTCACGGTGAACGGTTGAGTGCATGTAACCCTTGCCTCCACAATGATAGAAAAGTAAAGTGCATGAATCCTGACCGTAACACTAGAGGAATTGAAAGTGAGTGATGACATGAGGAAACATTTCCAAACAGAAAAGTCACATAAAGAAAAGCTGGATCTAAAGTTCTCACAAATCATGCATTTGAGCGCAACGTGCAACCCACGGCAATTTGAACGGAAGGTCGATCAGAGTTGCTTCTGTTCAATGGTGTACCCATTCTCAGTTCCTTACCTGATCATAAAGATTTCATCTTGTCTTCGAAGCATATTTGCAAGTACATCCGCGGATTGCTTGAACCAAGGGCACATATTCCATTACTGCATGGATGATTCAAACATTGGCCCAACCTGCAGAGTTGAGAAAGAAGCTCGATCATCTCTTACAGGGATGATATGAGATCTTCATCTCATTCCTATCTCAGTTGGGTTGGATTCGAAGTCTCTCAATGTCAAGGTTCATCCTCGCGAGTCAGGAAGGCACCATTTCATCGCTTCTTGCTCGTCCAGGGAGAGAGGGCTTGGGGAATGAGAAAAGGGGGCTACCCCCTACCCCCTATTTCAGAGTTTCAAACTCTTTCAAAGGTGGGTAGTTGAGGGTGCTCCATGTCCACCCCACCCCCCAACCATAGTCAAACGGAGGGGTTCTGAGAGGTCGAGGTTCCGACCAGTTCGGCCCTCGTTTTGTACCATGTAAACGCTTCAATTTTAAGTTAGTACCACAGATACTTCTAAAATTCGTACTTTTACATTGGTTTGGCGTGGTGAGGTGTCCAAGCAACCAAAATTCAAATCACCCTACCCCTCATTTGCCCTGCGCAGCAACGATTTTTCTGAGAGCTAGTACCCTCCCCCGCGGTGAGGGTGGTAGATTCAAATCCACGCATACCACGCCTCATGTGGGGGCGGGGTGGGTCTTCCGACCGTGTTCCGAATTCCTATGAGCGCCCGGCCGGAAAAGCAACGCTATGGGTCACGGCCGCCCGGAGAGATCAGGCCCCCGGCCCGAACCATGTGACTTTGGTACTCTTTTGGTACCATTCGGGGTTCTCCCCTATGTATTGTACACATCCGGTACAAGTATAACCCCACTCCCATGAAAAATCTTCAAGCATGCTGGTGAATTGCTTCATCCCTTGAACCTGGGGCCTGTCCGATCAAATCATATGGGCATACATAAGAAAACTGCAAGCCTGTATGTGGGGTCGGCCTGAACCATCTTGAATTCAAATGAGAGGGGGTGATGGAGGCGGGATTCCTTCGGATCCGAGAACCCCTCCGTTTGAGTCATTTTGGGTGGTGGGGTGGGTATGGAGCACCCTCAACTACCCACCTTTGAAACAGTTTGAAACTCTACAATAGGGGGTGGGGGTAACACCCATTTCTCATTCCCCAAGCCCCCTCTCCCTGGACGAGCAAGAAGCGATGAAATGGTGCCTTCCTGACTCACCAGGATGAACTTTGATATTGAGAGACTTCGAATCCAACCCAACTGAGATAGAAATGAGATGAAGATCTCATATCATACCTGTAAGAGATGATCGAGCTTCTTTCTCAACTCTACAGGTTGGGCCAAGGTTTGAATCATCCATCCTGCAATGGAATATGCACCCTAGGTTCAAACAATCCGCGGGTGTACTTGCAAATATTCTTCGAAGACAAGATGAAATTTTTATGATCAGGTAAGGAATTGATAATCGATACACCATTGAACAGAATCAACTCTGATTGACCCTTTATTCAAATTGCCGTAGGTTGCACGTTGCGCTCAAATGCATGACTGTGATTTGTGAGAAATTTGTATCCAGCTGTACCTTGAGCGACTTTTCTGTCTAGATATGTGTTCTCATGTCATCACTTGCTTTCAATTCTTCTAGTCTTACAGTCAGGATTCATGCACTTCACCTTTCTATGGAGGCAAGTCTTACATGCACTCAACCGTTCAACGATACATGAAGAGACGTTTGCACAGAAGATGACTGTTCCTGCCCGCATAGATGACTGTAGAGAACCGTTGTTGATCATGAATCACTATATCTATGATCATATTTCGATGATTTTTCCGTTTCGCTTCAAATTTTTCCTCTGTCATGATATTTTCACAAGGATTTCGATTGCACAGAAACCTAGTCAGAAATGAAGCAATGTGCAGATAATGCCTTTGCGTATCAATAAATGAGACGTTCATCGGATCAATCCTGTCTTGGTGTCGCAATGCTACCGTGCAACTGTAGTGTTCTTGTCGCATGGCTCTACAGAAGAGTGCCTTGTTCAACAGAGCAAGCACTCGATGATTGCAATCGAGTCGCAAACACTGTGAATCAACAAACAGAATTGCACATTCAGGTTATCATATCTTTATTAGAAGAGTTACAATCAGGGTACAAGCACAACCGACCTCCCTGTAATCCTGAAGACGTTCCATCTTTTGCCTGGCGAGGGTGTATCTGCGTTAACCAAGAAGCATGTGACATGTGGCCACATCTTGAATGCTCTACGGTCAGGAATATCAACATCTTCAAAACGGCTCTCTTGTTTGCTGTGACATCAACTGCTTGGTAGCGGCTCATCCGATGAACAGAATCTGATGCAAGTTCACACCAGTAATATTTACATGATGCATCAGTCAGTGTGATGAAATTGGTGATTTGCAAAATGTTTCATCGTTCCAACACATCCTTAAGAATTGGATGAAGAATCCTTCACGAACCACGGGACTTACTTGTCATCATTCGATTGTACTGAGGATCATCTTTGTTTCATGCATCGAGCTGCTCCGACCGTGACTGCTAAAATGCGCTGTATCTGTTCATTTAGAACTTTCCGTTGAGCTTTTCCTTCAGTTTTGCATGTTCTTCCATGCAGTGAGATGACCATGTCAATATTTTGCCTAGACCTGATCGACTCCCGAGTCCTGAACTTATCTTTGTTTGTGCCCATTTCATGTCACAACCTTTTCACATCGGGACAGTTCTGCGATGTGTCGAAAACCCCTTCGTATGCAGCCATTGTCTCGAGAGTTTTGTATGCTGGGCGGCTTACTGGTACGACTCCTGGATACCGGTTTGTAATATTGGTTGGGCACTTGCCAAAGTCTTCACCCGTTCATCAATCTCATACAAGTTGCCAAAGGCTGCAAATCATTCCAACCTGCATCAAGAACACGTCATTTGGATCTCTTCCCGTGATAATTTCGATGAAAAAAAGAGATAATGCTCACCTGACTTGTCTTGCTCTGTCAAACGCTGCACATCCTCATATCTGTACGGCTTCGCAGAGTTCACAGTGGCGGGAAACTTTCAACATTGATATTTTTTATTTTGATATTTGATATCGTATTGGCGATGCATCATGATTGAGCTTCGGAGGGCCAGCCACGCCTGTGAAGGCCATAATGGCCATCAAAGCTGACTTGCGATGGCATGGGAGCGTGACACACAAAGATTTCAGGCCGCAGGAGCGTGACACACAATGATTTCAGGCTGAACACCCCCTCAATTTTCAAGTTGTTCCATGTAGGTTGGACTTGCTCCAAACTATATGGAACAACTTGAAAATTGGAGGAGCGTGACACACAATGATTTCAGGCCGCAGGAGCGTGACACACAATGATTTCAGGCCGAACACCTCCTCAATTTTCAAGTTGTTCCATGTAGGTTGGACTTGCTCCAAACTATATGGAACAACTTGAAACTTGGACTCCGGGAGCGTGACACACAATGATTTCAGGCTGAACACCCCCTCAATTTTCAAGTTGTTCCATGTAGGTTGGACTTGCTCCAAACTATATGGAACAACTTGAAAATTGGAGGAGCGTGACACACAATGATTTCAGGCCGCAGGAGCGTGACACACAACTTTTTTCAAGTTGTTCCATGTAGGTTGGACTTGCTCCAAACTATATGGAACAACTTGAAACTTGGACTCCGGGAGCGTGACACACAATGATTTCAGGCCGAACACCTCCTCAATTTTCAAGTTGTTCCATGTAGGTTGGACTTGCTCCAAACTATATGGAACAACTTGAAAATTGGAGGAGCGTGAGGAGCGTGACACACAATGATTTCAGGCCGAACACCTCCTCAATTTTCAAGTTGTTCCATGTAGGTTGGACTTGCTCCAAACTATATGGAACAACTTGAAACTTGGACTCCGGGAGCGTGACACACAAAGATTTCAGGCCGAACACCCCCGGCTAATATTGGAATCAATTCCTGACTCCTAGAGTCTGTGCACAGATGAATGACTAGTAGAACAGCTCAACAGCTGACTGATAAGCCAAAGACCAAGACTCACAGATGGCCTTGCGCACGAAGACACCAATGACTTTCACAGCCAACCAAACACCTCAGATAACTCAGATCAACTTCCCAACAATCTCCAGCACTTTATTCCCAACACTCGTAGCAGCAAGACCAACCAAACAGCTTCCCTTCACACACCACCGCCTTACTTCCACCACTGTACGAGTGCTGCCTCTTCGACAGCCGGCGCCTCTTGATTCCTCCGGCGCCGCCTCAGCTTCAAGTCCCCAGGAGTCCAACCAACCGGATCTTCTAAGTCACAGACTAAGCTCCAGCCCACTAGGCTAGTAGCTTGGACCTGCAGGCTTCACTTGGTTCACAACCTGATTAGACGCATCCCTTGAACTTATCGCGTCTGAAAGAACTTCTGAGAGGTTTGTCAGAACCTGAGTTCTTACAGCTAATCGAATCAACCTCCACCTCACTGGCCAGACCGACGAGTCTATTTAACCCGATCCACCAAACACTATCTCTCAGTACACCTGAGATCCTTACCCCAACCTTATTCACCTCAACGATACACAGCTGTGCAGCCTGGTCTCTAACACCTTCACTGATGATGATAGAACTCTCAGAAGAACCACACAACACCACCAACACTTCCTTTATTCACAGCAGTCACCTCCCCTTCAGTCGGCCTTGCAACCGTGACTCCAGTGACGGCAAGTACAATGCACAGCGCCCTGGACACGTGTCCTCCTCACCCCCTTTTCACTGCCAGACCCTCAGGCTCGTCGATTCCTTAATTCCACTGAGACCTATGTCAAAGCCCCGTGACTTCCATCTGAGTCGCTGACTCTGTGAGCTTCGTCTACCGATGAGACGCAATACCCTGAACTTCTCGCCGTCTCCAAGAACTTATCGGCGGCGAGTTCTTACACCCCCTCAATTTTCAAGTTGTTCCATGTAGATTTCAGGCCGAACACCCCCTCAATTTTCAAGTTGTTCCACAGTGAAATATTTTTTGTGGCCCTGAATCATTTCGCCGGGGCGCACTGAGTGTTCCAAGTTCCGGCTGAAGCCTGGCACTGCCGCATGCGGCCATGTTATGTTAAGTTATGTTGACCTCCGACTGTTCAAGTTGTGTCTGACACCGTGACTCAGCGGCTACCGTAGTACCCGGGGCCGCCCCGGCGCTGCCAGGGCAAGCAGGCACCGTGACGGTTCCAAGGCCGAGTCACTGTCGGAGCCTCCGCCGGGCGGCGGCGGCCGGGCGGCCAGCCCGATCATATCAGATAGCCCCGCGGGGCTGAGTTAATTGAACACAGGCTGAAAACTCAACTTGCAAGGTCCGACCGCCGCCCGGCCGGGCGAGCCGGACCGTCTCCGGGACCTCTGAGCGGCTTCAAGGCTACTACCCGACTGTTCAAGTTGTGTCTGACACCGTGACTCAGCGGCTACCGTAGTACCCGGGGCCGCCCCGGCGCTGGCAAGCAGGCACCGTGACGGTTCCAAGGCCGAGTCACTGAGTCAGCGCCGGGCTGGCGCGGCACTGCTCACTGGCGGCCGCTGACCCCGTGACTGCCAGGCTCGGGCTGGCCGCCCGGCCGCCGCCGCCCGGCGGAGGCTCAGTGAGACGGTCCCGGCGACCGTCGGCACTGTGATTAATGCCGGGATCAGCATGCCAGCCATGCGGCCAGTCCCGGCGATCAGATAGCCCCGCTGAGTTAATTGAACACAGGCTGAAAACTCAAGGTCCGACCGCCGCCCGGCCGGGCGAGCCGGACCGTCTCCGGGACCTCTGAGCGGCTTCAAGGCTACCGTAGCCGGTGAGTCAACCGTTGAACGGTGAGAGTCAAGTTCCGAGCCAGGCCGGGCGGCCCCACGCGGCGGCAGGGCCCGGCGGTACCGGGCCGTACCCGGTCCGTGTCATCGGAACAGCGGCGGCGTTGCAATGATGCTTGAGTTTCATATTCTAGCATACAGTCGGGAGTCTCTCATGTGCAGTGCTGCCTCAATTCTCAGTGGTTTCGTGTCACAGTGTGCATTAAACTCGGTCACTCAGTTGAGCAAGAACTGTCTTATACATTATACATTTATTATACATCGAGACGTGAAATTGAATAACTTCCTCTACGACAGAAGGAATAAGAAGTACTTGCTTGTGGACTTTGGGCTGGCAGAGAAACAAATGCATTCATCAGGCCGCAGCATCGGCAACATCCGAAGTTGCCCTGTGAGGTTTCTACGGCCAGCTCTCGCTCCTCGCGGAATCAAAAGGAGCAGGAGAAGCTAGAGATGGCGCAGCAGATGGCGAAGAGGCGGATCATGTTGGGCGTCAGCAAGACGAACGCATCGGTGACAGTGAGGAACTCAGGGGTCAAATTCGAACGTCCAGTCAAACGCGCGGGAACTCGGGGATACCGAGCGCCCGAAGTGCTCATGGGCATGCAGTGCCAGACCACAGCAGTGGACGTGTGGGCTGCTGGGGTAGTACTGCTTACCCTGCTGTGCCGCACGACACAGTTCCAATGGTTCCAGTATAACGACATAGTCACGGCAACGATGGAGATCTACGGGTACGCTCTTTGTGTACCTTGGAAGTGCGCTTGTCTGACTGTCTGAGCAGCTTGCGCATGTACATCAAGAGCATGGATGCTGTGTGGAAGCTCCTCGACGTTAAGGTAAAATTGTTGTCGTCGGCGTTGTTGTATCAAGAGGATGAGGATGAGGATGATATGGTGGCGGGAGGCCTGAGGTTGCTAACTTGATGTCATTCAGATTCCACCATTGGAACTGCATCTCAGCTATGCCCGCGGTTTCAAGCAAACATGGCGGACCTTGTCAAGCTCCCTGGGCGCGCATGCGGGATGCAAGGACTGGCTGGAGGTGGATGAGAAACATGCGATCTGGGACTTCCTCAACTGCTGCCTCAACATCGATCCCCGCACGAGGATTACAGCACTGGAGGCTCTGAAGCATCCCTTCCTCATTAGTGCTGTCAAGTAAACCGTCTCTACCCGTAGCTTTCTCCTTCCTCTCCTCTCATGTCCTCCTCGCCCTCCTGCCTTCCTCGCTAGTGGTCTTGAATAAACACGGTCTCTCCTCCGGCATCTCCTCTCGCAGCGATCAGGCATATCAACTAGCCTGGCCTGCCAGGCGTCCATTTCCCTTCCAACCCCTCCCCTCTCCTTCCCCCAGCCTCTCAAACTCCTCACCTCCTCACAAATGACACCGCCATATTACAATAGGTTGGGAGAAGCCTCAAAAAACGCAATCATGGCAAAGCAACAGGAAGTCTCTTGAAATATGTTTCTTATTCAACCGACGAAGCATTCAGGTAAAGGAAGCTAGGGCGTCAACACAACAAGGAGAATCGAATTTCCTTCATGTCTTCGAAGGTTGCTTCTCTGATCGGTTCCCTTCATGTTTCCCTTCTTCTGGAAGTGAACAACCATCACCTATAGCTGATGAGTGCTTTGGTACGCAAGTGCAAATTTCGATGAGATGCATACCTTACACATTCAACCTACTATAGGTGTGATTCTCAGCCAAGAATTGAGCTGTTTGATCTCAGTACTTGCCTGGCAGTCTCAGGAGTTAGCATTGAGGGGCCATGGTCCTTGACTGCGCTCAGCAGCTGAGCAAACAGTCCCTGAGTACATTGGGAGTAGTGGGATAGGGAAGAGACGGGGCAAGTGTGAGGTCGTTTACAAGTGTTTTAGATTGATACGAGAAGTTTGCACTACCCCCTACCCCTCAACACGGGCTGGAGGCCGTTGGAAAGATTCAAATCATTTGAATACCTACCCCGAGCCACCTCATGATTATTTAGTCAACTATACACGCCTATTCATATCAAATAGAGGAAGGTTTTGCTCAACATTGCCCTTCTTGTCTTGGATGGCCCGGCAGCCCCTGGCAACGAAAAAGGTACATAAATTGACGGAGCCAACATTTTTAGCTCAATTTTCTCTTGCCGCTTGAATTTGACTAAAACTACTATGAGAACCACCCTGGTTAACTGATCCGACAAGGATACGGAACGGCAACGCTATGTATATCCCGAGCGCAACCCCGGCGACGGTGGCCCAGTGGCAAGAGCCGCACACTGACAACTGCGGCAGTGCAGCCAAGGTTACGCCGCGGCCCGGGCCCGGGGATTCAACTTGCCAAGTTGGGCCGTTCTCTCATTGATCACTACTACCGTCCGTTTCCGGGACTCGGGAACTACTCAGGCTCAGCCGCGAAGTTTCCCGATGGGACAATTCAGTGACTTGAAACCACAGGCAGACACTGAGTGACGCCGCTGTGACGAATCACTGTCATCAGCCGATCATCGCCGATACCTTCAAGGCTTCCTTCATTACCGTGCGGTCACCAGTAGTACAGCACCGTGCCTGGCAGTGGCCAGGCACTGACCTGGCAGTACGGCTCAGTGACCGTGAGTTGACAGTGAGCACTGGCAGATCGGACCGTACGGGACTGTCTGTCCACAGTGCAGTGCCAGCTTTCAAGCCGGGCCTGATGTGACCACTGCGGCTGCTCAGATGCCCGATGATGCGGCTAAAAGCCGTTCAACGGTTGCAGTGCGATCGGATCGTCCGATCAAACATCGAGTCACGGTCACCGTCCGATGAGTCAAACAGTGCCACCGTTGAACAGTGCTGTGATGAAACATCGGGTTACCACTTGCCATGCCATGATGCGTGGTCCGAGGATCTCATCATAGTAGGCAGGCGGCCCGCGATGCGCTATGGACGGCGAACATCGGAACTTGCCACCCGGAAAGACAGACGGTGACTCAGCCTTTGAGTCGAGCCTCGTCACGCTACAATTAATATGCTGAGTCACACACGTGAATTATATATAATTATGCATAATTTGCAGTTTCTTTATTGCGGTAGGTCCGAGTCCGGTCGGAATCATCATTCCAATGGCTACCGCGACGCAGAATCGGCATGGCGCAATGGGATCCGGAGGGAGCGGGCAAAGAGATCATCACTGCTCTGACATGACCTGTGTGTGTTGCTGAGAAGCAGTGAGTAGAGCTGTGAGTTCTGTGGACCCTTCTGCCTTGGAGGAGTGTGGGCATGCTTTATCGTTCCTCTTGCCTCCCTCGGAAGAGTCGGAGCATGCATTACATGGAGCCCTGCTTGTTTGAGTTTGCCAGAAAGAGCATAATCGCTATGAATCCCCTTGTGTGTACCATCCGCAGCCTATCATCTTGTGATGGCCGAGCCAGTGAGAATTTACCTTCATGTACGACACGATGTTCGCCGCTGGTTCCGGCCTGCGAGATCCGTGCGGTCCTCGGGGCTCATCTCAACGAACTTGAGCCATGAGCACCTTGTATCCTGACTTGTTTTGACGAGTGGGAGAGGTTTGATGGAAGTGAAGTACTAGCCGTTAGTTAAAATTCAACATGTAAATTTCGAGATCAGCAATGCTTTTCAATCTTGATCCCCAATAGCATGGTGGAGTAAGAGTAGAAGGAGATCGCTAGCGACATGTAGATTTGGAGCTTCACTTCCCTGCTGACGCCTTTTTCCGCTCTTTCCTCTGCATTATCGTTGACGCTGACGCATCTGCTAGGGAGGTTAAGGATGGAGTACAGCGTGAACGAGGAGTTTGTCCGCCAGGTCTCAGCGCAGTGGGGAGGGACAAGGTCTCGAGACGTGAACAGCATCCTGGAGATAGTGGAGAGGTAAAGGAGTGTGGAGCAAGAATAGGGCTGACGACCGTATCAAGGCTGTGGGGGCACTTCTTCAGCGGGGATGTGGCTCCAAGTGACGGGGAGAAGATAAGGCTTGCGGCAAAGCTGATCACGAGATGCGACGCAAACTCGGACGGGCTGCTGAATTTAGAGTCGTTCCTTGAGTGGTACAGGATCACAGTCGACATATGGCCGTTGATCAAGAAGACGGTCAAGAGCAAGATAGTATGTGACGATCATGTTTTAACCCGCAATTGATCTGTTCTTCTCCAGATCACAGCATCGAATACAACGTTGACATGGGACGATAATCTTATCTTGGCAAAGGTAGCGTTCGATGACAATGATGAAGATGACTGCGGTAGAGTAAGTCAGGAGGTACGCTTGGTTTTTGGCGGGGCAGCACCAGTGTGTAACTCGCTTGCTCATGTACAGAAAATCCTCAAGGTTGCAGATGTAGTCCTTGACAACTTGAGTGAGGAGCAGAACATCACAAAGCTTGAGAGGATCAAACTCTGCGAAGATCTCCTCAACTACAGAGAAGACAAGAACGACGACAGGATCACCTTCCCTGCCTTCTGCTCCTGGTACTCCAGCATCGAAGGGAAGCTGCTGGGCATTCGTGCACTTGCTGCCAAGCAGATGGTGGCGCGAGAAGGGATGCAGGTAGTTTGAGATGAGGATGACAGCGCAAGAGACTGACATTCCCGCAGGCGTTGAGCCAGCACAGCTCGCCGATGGCAAGGGAAAGCTCTGTGCTGGACTCGCAGTCGAAACAACAAGACATGCTCGTGAAACGCAAACTCTTCGCCTCGAGGGAATCGCACAACGAGACTCCCACCAAACCTCTGCCTCGACCTCCTTCTCCTGCCCGAGAACATGTCGCTAGCATGCGCACCCCAGCTCACATGGAAGGATCCAGAAACGTCTCGTCACCGTCGATTCACGTGGAAGGATCCAGAAACTCTCCATCGGTCTCTGCTCATGTAGACGAGGGGTTTAGAAACATCTCTCCGTCTCTCTCTGGTGGGGCCCTGTCTCACAATGGGCTAATCCCCCCAGAGTCTTCAGGCGCAAGGTCATCAGGCAACCATATCAGAGATCAAAGCCTGGACTACGCTCCTGACTTGACGGCAACGTCTTTGCTTGACCAGCAGTCGGCGCCTCTTGACAACTCTTCTCCTTCGAGAGTCAAGAACATCGCCAAGTCCTTCTCGGTCGGGCCGATCGCTCAGCTGGACCTGTCGAAGCTCAAGACGGATGAGTCGGACGAGGGCGCGTCAAACAAATCCCCCACTCATGGCGCCGACGACATTCTGCAGCGTCTGGCCCGACTGAACATCACACCCAGGAAGTCGGAGATGTCAAACCTGCAGCCTCCCACGGAAGTTGAGAAGATTCGCATCGAAGAGAGGATCGACGAGCTGCTGCAGAGCAGGTCGAGGTGGAGCGAGGGGAGGGAGCCGGCGATGCCGGGCTTCCAGAGCACCTCTTCCCTCATACACACGCTGCAGGAGCGCAAGCCTCTTCCCAGCATCTCCATAGCCACAGAGGCTGAGCTGTCTGCGGCTGACATCAAGTACTCCAGCACCTCCGTGTTGCGATCTCAGACCCCCAGGAGCTCCGACGCCTCGACGCGCTTTGACAACTCGCGGCCTCATGCCATCGTGACGTCAGACACGAGCACCTACACCCCCAGAAGCTCCGCCAGCCGATCTCATGTCGTCATCAACCCCGAGGAATACTCGCTGAGCTCATCGCCTTTCTCGGCCAAGGTGGAGGACGAGCTAATCGAGTTCTACAAGATCTACAACCCTCACAAGCTCGCCCACATAGTGCAAGTAGCGCAGAGGTACCGCAACGACAGGCGGGGCCTGAACCAGGCGCTGCGAGACAGGTATGGCACCGACCTCGATAGCCTGCGAAAGACTCGCCTCGCCTTCCCTCGAGACACCCCGAGGGGTCAGGAGTCCTCGTTCGGCTCCCCCGTACGAGTTCCGAGGAACACGGGAACAGATCAGAACTTTGCGGAACGATCAAGAGGAGGCGGGGGTGACACGGGCGACAAGATCTTCCGACTCTTTGGGGTTCGGCTTGTGCGGCGACATGACAGAGATCACGGGACCGGCTACATCGCCATCTCTGAGGTCCATCCATCCAGGTGAGCGAAGGAGGGAAGTAGAGAAGGGATGAGAGAAGCGGGAAGCAGCAGGGGAAGTTAAGGGTTGAGGCTGAGATTGTGTGATTGGAAGAGGGGTGGGGTTTGGGGGGGGGGATGGAAGGGCAGAGGAGGACGAGGACGACGACGAGAAGGAAGGCGGCGGAGGAGGAAGGCGGAAAGGGGGGGGGATGGGGGAGGGGGGATGGAAGAGGAAGGGAAGGGAGGGCTGCGTGTGAGGACGCTGCAGGTCCTACACCGGGCTGGAGGCTGACCAGGAGGTGATCATGGTCAACAACCGGCGGGTGCGAGGGGAGGCAGTGGGGGACCTGGTGCGGTACATGGGGATAGAGACGGAGAATAGCTTGCTGCTGGAAGTGAAGCGAGGGTCCAAGGTCGTGTCGGTGAGCCTTGAGGGGGGAGGGTTGAGGGCAAGACGTGAGGGTCTGAACAGGTCCGCCTCCCTCGAGGGTCGTTCCAAGAGACGAGGACGGAGATGAATTACCAAGCGGTGAGTGGAGGAGAGGAGAGGAGAGGGGAAGGGAGAGCAGAGCAAAAGTGGTGGTGGAGGTGGACATGATTGATGAAAGGAGGTTGAGCAGCACGAGCACGAGCACGAAGAGTGGGGGAGTAGGAAACCGACTACTTCTGACAGCAGCTCTCGCAGGATTTCTCTCCTTCACGTGTCCGTACCAGCACTGTGTACCTCCAGCCCGGGACGCCACCAGGAAGGAGCGTCAGTCCCATCTCCTTCATCCAGCCTTCCATGGAACTTGGGGGATATTTCCATGGCGGCGGCCACGTGCCCGAAGCCTCCTGGTCCCCCATGCAGAGCCCCAGAGGAGAGTTTCGGCCTGTCAGCCCGATGATGGGGCATCCGCTCTCCATGCAGCCTCCCGCCTTCAACCAGCCGATTCCTATGATCTTCAGCTCGGGGTATGGCAACATGAGCCCGAGAAACAGCAGGTGGTGAGGGGTAGGAAGAGAGGGAAGAGAACGAGGAGGAGGAGGAGGAGGAGGGAGGAGGAGGAGGAGGAGGAGGAGGAGGAGGAGGAGGAGGAGGAGGAGGAGGAGGAGGAGGAGGAGG